CTGTTCCTGGGGCCGCGCTCCAGGTAAGTTCAGCCTCCCCCGCGTCGCCGCGAGCCTCACCAGCCACCCCGGCTGCCCCGCAGCTCGGAGCCGGGGTCGCGCCTCGGCCGGTTCCCCCGCGAGCGCAGCGCGGCCACGGGTCAGCGCTGGGCTGGCACCCACGCCACGTACCAACCCGGCTGCAGGGTGCAGGGCCCCAGGGGCCCCGGCGGTCGTGGAGGCCACCGCCCTCGTTTCAGAATCAAGGAAGCTGAGGCCCCGGGCAGCAGAACTGCCTGTCCTGGGAGGGTCACCCAGTTCTGCTCGGGGCGGGGCGCAAGCTGACCAGCTGTACCGGCGCCCTCGACCCTTGGCTTTTCGTCGCAGCTAGCCGCGCAGGGATACAGTTGGCCATCTTGGCTCCCCCCACCGTCAGGTCTTGGGAACAGAAAAAGAGCAGGGAGTCGGAATGGTTCTCCCGGTCCCTGGCGTCGTAAGAGGGGCTGGCTCCAAGCTCTGTTCTGAGGACTTGAACCCCACCCATCCTTGTGAGCACGTCCCTCCTCTTCACTTAGGCAATTTACTTTATTTCACTTAATTTTTTTAGGAGGTAGGAGAAAAGTGTATTTACATGTTGGGCTTTGGGAGTCCGAGAAGTTTGCTTTTCCATGAAAAGACTCACCTTTTTCTTTAATTGCAAGAATCTGATTCACTGGACATGAATCATTCCCCTGGCATTTGAGTCAGCAGGTAGAGGATCTGAGTACTTGTTTGCAAATGACCATATATAGGAAATTGTGGTTTCTGCCGGGTCAAGGAGCTTCTGGGTCTCTGGAGGCCCCTCGGGCTGCCAGTAAGAAGGTTGTAACACGGCCCGGCTAAATTATTTCCAAGGATTTGTGTTCTACACAGTCAGACTCTGTCCTCTGCCAGGGCTACATTTACAACTTTCTAAAAATCAACTTCATGAAAATTGTAACTCATAAAAACATTATTCTGCAAAGATAATCGCCATTGGCTTTCATGAAGGCAGAAAACTTCAAACTGACGAGAAAGGAAATTCAAAGATGTAAAGAAAACCAGGAGCTTGTTCCCAGAGCCGCGTGGTTCTGTAGAGACAGCGGCGTAAATATAGGGACCGAGGAGGAAGTAAAGGAAATGATGTAAACTCTCTAATCTCTTTCAGAAAAGGATGTTAAGGTTCTGTTGTTAGGTCATTTAGCCTCCACTCTGGAGTAATTTTTCACTTCTTAAAACTGAAATCAGTAGTAAATGTTTGTAATTTACAAATTATACTAAATCAACACATATTGAGCATTAGCTTTGACAGTGTATGGGCGGGGCACTTGGGTAAGGCAGAAGCTTGGGGGTTAAATGTATACCCTTGGACTGTGACTGCCTAGGTTCCGTAGAGGGACACTTACTCGCTGTGAGACTGGAACGTTATAGTACAGTCGGCCCTCCGTAGCCGCGGGTTTCAAAGTCGAACCGCAGTTGGTGGAATCAGCGGATGCAGAACCCGCGGGTAAGGAGACTGTACTGTGCCTTTGTATATAGGGACCTTGAGCATCTGAGGATTTGGGTAAACGCGGGGCAAGGTGGGGGAGGGGGCCCGGAACCGTGGATGCTGAGAGATCGACTGTACCTCTCTGCGTCCCAGCTTCTTCATGTGCAAAGTGGAGATGTTCTTAATGATACCCAGCTCCCCTGGATTATTGTGAGGCTGGTATCATTCATTCATTCAATAAGCATTTTTTGTTTTTAGTACTTTCTGTGCCTCAGTGAAAAAACTTGACAAAAATCTCCAGCCTTTTGGAATTGACCTTATAATGTTTCTTAATTTTTTTAAATTTTAATTTATTTATCGGCCAAGCCGTGCAGCTTGTGGGATCTTAGTTCCCCAGACAGGGATTGAACCCGCCAGGCAGTGAAAGTGCGGAGTCCTAACCACTGGACCGACAGGGAATTCCCTATTGTGTTTTTTTATATTACCTGCAACATAGTAAGAACTCAAAACATTAGCTGATGTGATTACACATATTATTTCATTCAGTGCCAACAACAGCCGTCCTCTCCCCTTTTGACAGATGAAACTGAGGCTCAAAGAAATTGTGTCTAGCTTTAAGAGGCAAAACCAGAACTAATGATATTTTGTATCTGCTGTATATTTAGAGGGATGTAGCCCTTAGCCCTTGTAACTAGAACGCTGACTGCCCTCCCCTACAGAAAGCCTGAGAAAATCAAGTCCCTAGAAATATTTAAATTCCAGAGACTAATAGTGTCATTTCCTATTGAACATTGCTCTGGGGCTATCACTGAATTTTTAGAATATTTTGTTCCCAGTAAGGGTGGGAGCAACTTTATTTCTAAGCCAATCCTGGAGATTTGCCAGCATGTTTGAATAATGTCTACATATGAAAGTGTGTCTGGGTTCCCAACCAGGCATCCATCAAAGAATTGCCCTTTTTCACCTATGGGCCCTACCAAGGACTGGACCTTCCTCAAAGGGCAGGCATGTCTGTTTATAACAGGCTGTAGGCTTGAAGCCTTGTAAAATGTAAATGAAGATTCACAAACACAAGGGATCAGACTGAAGCCAGCTGAAAACTGGGGGAGGGGGACAAGTTTTTGTTGTTCCCTATGACGGTAGTTAAAAGAAGTCAACAATCATTGTAGTTCTCCTGGATGTTAAATGAGTCAAAAATTGGCTCCCAGGAAACATATTTGCAAACCTCTTACGTACAGAGATTTTTTTTTCTCTCTTGTTTTGAGCCCTTCACAGGTGTAGCACAGTCCCTTGTAGATAGATAGTTGGTGTTCGGTGATGTTTATTTAGCAAATGCAGTACTTGACGTTAGAGAAACATCCTCTTCCAGAGGTGGTTTTTCTTTGAATGTTGACTTCTGTTATCTGGATTAGAGATTAAGGGTTAGGCTGAGATTATTGTGTTCTGAATCCCAGATTTATACCGTTCGTACTTTCTTTTCTTTTCCTTTTAATAGGTTAGTGTGATCTCAACTCAAGAGAAAGGTGGGATATCATGGCATCTATCTGGGTAAGTAAAAATCAAGCCTTCATAGCACAGTAACTTATCTGAGTCAAATCAAAATACAGAAAATCAAAATATTAAGAAAAAATTTTATAAGTTGATAAAAGGTTTATGTGAAAAAATTAACATGCCCCAAAAGCTAGATGATGTCTAAAAATAAGAAGATATTAAAATGTATTGTAAAGGTACATAGTTAAAATAATTTGTACTGACACCAAAGCAGGGAGGTCAATAATAGAGAATAAATTATGTGATTTGGGAATTTATTATAAGAAAAAGACATTTCATATCAGAGAGGAGAAGATGGCTTATTCAATAAATGATGTTAGGAAAACTTCTCACTGTTTGAGGGGAAAAAGTAAATCTGTATTCCTTCTCCCTTCTTACATGAAACTAAATTTCAGATGGATAAAATACCGAAATGAAAAAGACAAAATATGGGTGAATTTAAAAAATAATCTAGGGGGCTTCCCTGGTGGCGCAGTGGTTGAGAGTCCGCCTGCCGATGCTGGGGACACGGGTTCGTGCCCCGGTCCGGGAAGATCCCACATGCTGCGGAGCGGCCGGGCCCGTGAGCCATGGCCGCTGAGCCTGGGCGTCCGGAGCCTGTGCTCCGCAACGGGAGAGGCCACAGCAGTGAGAGGCCCGTGTACCGCAAAACAAACAAACAAACAAAAATAATAATCGTTGGAGTGGGGAAGGCAGTTACAACCAAGGTGCAAACCGAAAGCCCAAAAGAAAAATATTGATCTATTGAACTAAATACAAATTTATGATTTATGATGGCAAACAATATATTAGTGGAGTCAGAAGACAACCCACAGGAAATAGTATTTGCAGCACATTTGACAAGAGACTCATTAACATAAAAATAACTTCACTACATCAATAAGAAAAATGAACTCGATGGAAAAATTTGTGAGGGACATGAATAGGATACGAAAAGAATTATATATGTCCAACAAACATATGAAAAGGTGCTATACCTTACTGAGAAATAAAGAAATGTAAATAACACAATGAGAAATCATTTCTAAGTATTGGTAAAGGTGAAAAAAAATGTAAGAAGACCAGTGTTGCAGAGGATGTGGGCAAGACGGGCACTCTCATACTCCGTTCATAGGCGAGTAAAGTTGGCACTCTTTGGGGATGGTATTTTGGCCATATCTGTCAGTGTTTAAATGCTCACCCTGTGTAACCCAGTAGTTCCACTTCTGGGTATTTATCATATAGATACACTTGCATAAGGTTGAAGAAATAAAGGCTGATGGGTATTCATTTGTACTAATGAAAATATACAGAATAAATGGCTATCCATGGGTTATGATATTTCTCAATTGTAACTTATAGCCATTTTTATGTAATCATTTAAAAAATGAAAGTCTGATGTCTATGTATTGACAAAAAAAATTCCAGAGATATATTAATCAATAAAAAAAAAAAAAATCCAGTCACAGAATAGTACATACAGAGTGATTCTGTTTTAGAGAAAGAAAAAAGAAAAGAAAAAAATAGACACATAAGGACTGTATTACTTAAAAACTTTCTGGAAAGGTGGAACTATGAGCAGGGGCACTTTCACTTTCAATGCATCACCTTCTTGCTCTGATTCTTTTTTTAAATTTTTTTTTCTTTTTTTTTTTTGGGCCGTTCACACGGCATGTGAGATCTTGGTTCCCCAACCAGGGATCGAACCCGAGCCCCCTGCATTGGAAGCACAGATTCTTAACCACTGGACCACCAGGGAAGTCCCTCTGATTTTTTTTAATGATGAAAATACATTATATTTTATAAGTGAGGGGCAGAGAGGCTTCAAGAATAACCTGTATGGAGACATGAGCAGGCCTTGTTATGCGCAGTGTCGGTGTCAGTAGATGTGCTATTGTGAGGCTTTGCTTGGTCCCAGATTATTTTCTGTCACTGGCCAGTAGGCTGATCTCCCCCTTTCCAGGTCTGAAATTCCTGCT